TGGAGAGTCATGATCACCTACATCTTGATGGTAATCTGCAAAAAAAAAAAGAATAATATCTTGACATATCCCATATTAATAAAGCAAAGAACGATGTGTAAGAAAAAAAATCTTTAAAAAAAGTATTATGTTACCATAACATTAAAATTCAGAATCAACTCTGTGGCAATTAAGCTTTGATCAAAGTGCAATAACTGTTCTTCTTGCTTGAGTAAAGTATGTATGTAATTTTCATATTTTTGGAATGTCTAATAAAAAAGAATTTTATATATAAAGTTTCAGGAAATGTATTGTCTACTTTAAAGACAGACGTAGATTAACGGTTCTGAAATATATAATTCCCTACCATTTCAAAAATGTGTGTGTGCGTGTATTGATAAGTATATTTCAAGAAAAGGTGAGTGTGTGTAGAGCTGGATTTGAGTTGAAATGGCAAATAAAACATCTGATGTTGTGTGGATATTCTATTTTAGTAAAGAAATCAATAGGGTAGTCATTGGCACTGCAGGGGAAGAATATGGTCTGGGTTGGGCGAATTGATGAGTAGATAGAGGGGGTTGGGTCTTGGTGGGGTCATCTCTATTATTGGAGAGAGCTGAAAAGTTAGAAGGTGGGAGAAAAAAGTTGTTGTGATATAGATATTTAGGAAGGAAAAATGAAAGAGAAATGCTGCTATACTGAAACCATTTTTCGAAAACCAGAAATCAGTCAGGACCTTTAGCTAGGACCTCAGTCTGGAGTTAGGTATAAAGAAATATATAATACTGGCGACACAAAAAGGGAAAAAAGAAGCAGCAGAAGGAAGTAAACAGCACAAATCAAGCAGAATGAGTGATTGACTGATTTGTTTTTTTTACAGCTTATCAACCCTTTGTGGGTTATTTAAAGCCAAAACATATTTCGGATTTTAAGAATAATTTTTTGTTTTTTTTTATGATTTAATATTAACTATTTTTTAAGAATAAAAAGTATTTTTTCAGATATATGTTCTACTATTTAATCCATATGTGGAGAAGGGAGATGGATTCATACATGTCCCAAAGATATTTGCACATAAATGAATGTAACAAACCTGAATGGCATTTGAACTTTGATCTCCAATTTATCAAGCCAAGCCACTATCCATTACATCACCTGCAGATCCTAGGTAGAATGAGATGAAAGAAAAATTCAAATGATGTTCAGAAAAGAATACTGCAGATAAATAAGGAAAATATTTCAAACTCAACAGTAGAAACAGGATCAAAGAATCAAATATTTGGGGCCCTTCCTAAAGAAGAGAAAAAAAATGACAAATTTGGATAAACACACTTGTGGAACACTCTTATGGCTCCATGCTTTCCTGCCAACTTTAATCTACAAAAATTTGAATGCAACGTCAATCGCTATCTACAGTCATACTGATTACTCTTTGCTTTCTCCTCTCATTATTAATGTTTCTGTTCCTAATTCTTCAACACCTAGTAACCTTTTGAGTCTTAGTGGCTTTTCTATTTTGCCTGGGATGAAACCAAACAAAAAAATACACAAGGAATTTGATATCAATAAGTCATTGCAATTGAGGCATAAAATTAATAGATTGTATGTGAAAAGAAAAGGAGGAAGAAGAAGACTTTTCAACACTGAAACTTGAGTTCAAAAAATAAGACATAGTAAAATATAAATGATAAAACAATCTCTTCAAAGATGACAGTGTTGCCCCTTATTCTTTACATTCAATGATTTCATTGTCTTTAATCTTTCTCCATGTATTCACAAATTTATTCTTTGTTCCTGAACTAGCTATTACTGGAAGTAGCATAGAGAATAACATGTTACAGTTCTAACACTTTTTTCATTATTTACATTGTAAATATCACAATGTTTTGGTAGTCATGACCTCCAACCTTCTTCAGATGTCTGTTGATTCAGGTAACCTTCATGGAATTCAATCTATGGAGGTAGATTCTTCTCATTTTGATGTCCATGTCTTGGGATAACTAACTTTGATTAATCATACTTTTGATACTGTTTAGTCCTGTTTCCACTGAGTCTGAATACATCACTATTTCCATGGTAAATGTTCAGATGACATCCACCAGTTTTAACTATAGTGTGGCTCCAAGAAATAAGGTCCACACTTTATACTGATGTTATAGTTTTATTTAGGAAAGACATTGTGAAAACTAGAAACAAATAAATATATCTCTAAAGGGAAATGGACAAACAAATTACTTTAAAATGCAAAAACAAGGAAGACACTTTTCAAACAGGAACAAAAATCTGTTGATTAAAGTAGTTTCAATGCAGGCAATATATAAGATTAGTATCCATTAAAAACAAAGCAGGATAATTTCCATAGTGAATCAATGAATCTATAGAGCATAAGTGAAACAGCCTGTAAATATGATATATATTGACTTTGTCATCTTTGATGAGGATTTGAGTTCATAAATTTGTTGCATCATAAACGTTGCTAAAATGATTTTTTATGTCGATGGGCAGTATGCAGTGATTGATTTAAATAAACAGTATATACAGACTGTGATGGATAAATTATTGTTTAAATGACACAAAAATTAAAATAACACTGACATCTCATTTTAACAGATATATTTACCAAAATTACACAAAAATATCATAAAATACTAAGTAAATTTATTCAATAAAATCACCATTGGCTTCAACCACAGCCACCAGATGACTTCAGAATCTCCTGAAACTCTTCTGGGCAATCTACTTGTTTAAGTTAGTAAATCCTGGCCTTCAGTTCATCATTGGTATTACAAGAAGTTTTGTTGGTCTCTCGTTAACTGCACCCCACACATAATAATCAGAGGGGTGCAGTCTGGGAAGTTAGGTGGCCAGATGTAAGAAGTGATGTTGTCACAGAAATTGTCTGAGAGCCATGACTGGGTTCTCCTGCTTGTGTGGCATGGTGTACAATACTGCTGCCAGACATAGGATCTTCCAGCAGCCACCCTCTTGACCATCTCAAGTCCCTTGATGTAGGCCTCTGTGTTGGGTCTGAGACCCTGTGGAAAGATGTATGAAGGCATAATGTCATCATCACTAGTGCTGACTCTAAACACCTTTGTAATTAACCTTTCCAAATCCTCTGCACTGTCCTCAGATTGACACCTGAACACTCTGAAATGTTCATATTAGAGCTTCTGGTGTAAATGCCAAGCAGTACAGCATGCCATTTCCAAATTAATGGCAGAGTAAATTGTATCATGTTGCTCTTTTTCTCATAGACGGTGCCCAACTGACCATACTATACTGTGCAGCCGAAAAAATCAAAAACAAACAACACATGCTTGAAATTAAAAATATAAAATGGCTATAATTTACACATCACATCTTGTATAGTTATTTTTTATTCCATTTTAAAATATAATAAAAATCTATTTACCTTTGAATGAAAATTGGCATTGTTCAACAAGATTCTCAAACACATATGTCCATATCTCAAACAAGTTTTTCAATTCTAGTGAAACAGGATCATTCTAAGTCAACGTGTTTTCAAATTTTATCTCGAAACCAAAAAAAAAAAAAAAATTCTTGTAGTTAAAATCAGAATATGAAGAACAACATAAGCATAAAAATGTTATTTGTGGGGAAATAAAATAATAAGAGAAAAAATAAATAAAGATATATCTTTCTGTATTTTTTTTTAGAAAAATTCATATTCAGTCTGTGAATTCTTTAATCTGACAAGAATAATTACACATAAATGGTAATGGTCATATTTAGCTGTTTTCCTACAAGGAAACACTTGGCATTCATTGACCAAGCAGCCAGTTGAAATTTATAAAATCTTTCTCTTTTTAGGAAAACAGATTTCTCAAGTCCACTAGCTTTTATCACTCTTTCTAGTATTGAAAGAGGTTTCCTTCCAAACCTTCGATTTGAAGTAGTGTGGAATGTCAATATCTTCTGTAGGAGAAAAAAAAAATGAAGATGGGTGGGGGGTCTTTCTTGGCACCTCAAGGAAATGGATTATGTGACTCCCTTTCCCCATCAGGGAGGCATTCGTGGGGGGGACTGCGTGTAATAGAGTTGGACATATGGATTGACAGACAGACAAAGAGGAAGTCAATTTAGGTGCAGCTGAGTCGGTGTCTGTTTCACAACTGTCCAGTGTAACAGCTGAGAAAGGGAGTCACACAATCCATTTCCTTGAGGCAACCCGAAGAAGAAAGAAAAAAAAAAATTCCTCATAATCATTTTTTTTTCTCCCACATCTTCATTATGTCATTATTTTCTCTCCAAGTTACTATCCATTTTAAAGATCATTTTGATTTCCAGTAAATATTGAAAAATGCCTTCCAAATGTTAAGTAAAGTATTAAGAAACAGAAAAAAATCATTAGAAACAAAGAAAAGAGTACTGAACTGTTGTGTAATATCACTTCTCTTATATGAATTCTAGACAGATGAAGAAACTTGAAGCAATAAAAATGTGGTTCTACAGAAGGATGCTGAGAATACCATGGACCGAACATGTGAGCAACAACAAAATTTTAGAGAAAATGGAAACAAAAAGGACACTGATACTTAACATTAAAAAGAGAGTTGAAATCACTAGGTCACATAATGAGGAAAGAGGGCTTGGAAACTTTGATACTCACAGGACAAGTTGAAGGCAAGTGAGATAGCAGAAACCAACTAGTAAGCTTGAGGTTGGCAGGACAAGATTTAGGAGATATAACAAAAAGAGAAAATTTATTAAGATCTACAAAGGACAAGAAACTGTGGAGAGTCAGGATTGTTAATGCCCTGAATGAACATGGCATATAGAAAAAGAAGAATATAGTATGTTCAGAGAGATAGTCATATCTTTCCCAAGGCATGACTATCTCTCTGAACTAGTTCTGTCAGTCATTATTCCTTGATGCTGACATTAAGGTATAAATATTAGAAGTAAGCTGTACACGTATTCATAATTAATTTTGCTTGACTTACAAACTGCATAATTCCACCATAATGACAAACGATTATCATTTTCTATTCATTTAGCAAATCTAAGAAAGATCGAAAAAAATCCTTGAAAAGCTTAAAACCAAAAGAGTTAAAAAAGACGACAACTTTATCAGAAAGTCACTTGACAACAAAATTCGAGGTCAGTAGATTTTTCATATTTTTCATTTATCAAATATTCTTAAAATAATGATATTGAAACAAATTTTTTTTTTATTAATAATCTTGTGGAATAAAGGTAAGAAACAGGCTTAAAAAATTACATTTCCAAAATATGTTCATAATATATAAACAATACAGTTTGTTTATTGTTTTATTTCTTTTCAGAATAGATAAAAATTCACAAGATGAAATGGGTTTTGTAAGAAAAAGCAATAGTGATAAAAATTCAAGCCATACTATAAGTGGAAATTTGATTTTCTGTATTCTTTTTATATTTATTTATTTTCTAGATTCTAAAATATATATTTTATCAGATAATTTAATACTAAATCTGTCCTATAGTTATTACATTTTATATATGAATCTTGTTCTCAAATTGTTGTTAGACTTATAATAAAAATAAAAGATAAACTCAATAAAAATGAAATATTTTATCATTTATTAATTTGAATCATAATTGTGAGGAACATATGTAAATAATATGATTTACATTTAAGTGTTTTGAGGCACTGGAGACCTTATTGGAATTAAATTTAATATTGTTTAATAGTTGATTTTCTCTTTGCTTTTACAAAGTTGTAACAAATACTGGAACATGGTATTAATCAGGGTTCAAAGATTTGTTACAAGCTAAGTAAAAGATAATCTTACAGCTCTGTTAAAACTGTAGCCCCCTCTTCAAGTGCTTCTGCAGCCTCCCAGACGAAGCATTGATGTCCCTGTTGAGAATCTATACTTTATAAACAGTGATAATTGCAGAAATATATACACAAATACAAGAGCTGGATACATACTAAATTTAGCTATGCTTAATAGTATAAAGCAGAAAATTATAATAATCTTTCTGCTTGGAATTTTTCTAGTGTTATGAATAGCACAATTACTGAACTAAGTTAATATTTTTAGCTTATGGTGGGGGCAATAATGAATGAATAAGAAGAACTGGATTTTTTTAGCACTTCCTGAAATAAATAAAGATGATAAGCAAATAGCAGTTGTTGGTGAGATGTAGTATTAATAAATAATAGCATCCAGCTGGTGACTTTGATGGTGTTTAGTTTGAAGGCAAAACTCTTAGTGCTGCTGGCCATGAGATCAGTCAACCAGTTAAAATCTTTCCCAATAAGTGTATTGATTTTTGGTTCAGTGATTAGCTATTCTTTCTATACAGCAATAGTTGAAAGTGATTAGTGACTGAAGTAACTCCTCTCTCTCTCTCTCTCTCTCTCTCTCTCTCTCTCTCTCTCTCTCTCTGATTCATTTTCTGCTTTTTTTCATTCTTTCTTCAATTTAGTTATTTCATCATTTTCTTTCTCTCTTTTTGCTTCAGTACCTTCTCTCTCTGTTCTTTTTTTATTTTACTCTTTCTTATTTCTGTTTACCTTTTTTTGTTTACTGTTTTTCTTTTTTTTGATTTTGTTTCATTTGTTCAGTCATATTTTTTCATTATTTTCCTTTCCTCTTGTCATACTTGACTTCATTCATTTCACTTTCTTTCCTCATTTCTTTCTATATTTTCTTTTCCTTCACAATTACTCCACTTCTCCCACTTCCACTTCTATTTCCCTCCTACCCTCTCTAAATCTCTTTCTTTCTTTTAATTCTTTCAAACCACCTGAATACCTTTCTCTCATCACTTTTATATCTTTTAATTCCCTTTCTTTTTCACACTCCTCATCCCCTTCCTCAGCTTGTTACTTTCTCTCTATAAAATCTTTCTTTAGCTCTTTTTTTACTCCCCTCCCATTTTACTGTCTCTTTTTCCTTTTCTTTCCTCCCTCTTTATTTATTTGCCTTTACATTTTTTTTATTTCCTTATGAAATCTTTTTTCTTCTTCATCCGTTTGCTTGTTCTCTTCACTAATCCATCATTTTCCTGTTTCAGCTGCTGTTATCCACTCATTGATCACCTAATCAATAATGCTGTAATCAATACTAACTATCCCTGACAGGATTACTTTCTTTTCCCGCTAATATCTACCACTTATTTCTACTGGGATGTATCAAAACATTTTTCACTCTACATATATTCACTGCTCTATTTATAAAATCTTTCAATGATCCCAACTCTTGTAAAAGTTTTTCAATTTTAAGCTTCTGTATATTTTTGAAGATTATGTAAGGCTCTGTTTATGTCACCTTTTTGTTAATCTAGCTTTGCTGAATGCTTTCAAGTATTGGTGATTAAGTCCTCCTCTACCTTGTATTTCAGAGCATCATTATAGCGTAAGCAGAAGTTAACTGTTTCAAACCAAAAGATCAAATAACAAAAATAAACACACTGCACAAGGGCTATGCACAACCTTCTGGTTTCAAACATATTTCAAATTAATAAAAATAAAGTATAGCCAATGAAATCAACTCCCTCCAATAAATAACCATAGGCTTCTGGAGCCTACACAAAGCCATATAAACCAGACATCCATTCAACTCAGCAGAAAGACTGGCATCAGTAAAGAGACATGAGTCAACCATGTTATCTTGTCTTTCTCATCAAAGCAGTAGTGTACTCTCTTTGATCTTGTCCCCCAAATCCATTTTCTCTCTTCCTCACTGAAAGGCTATTTATTTTCATTTCCTTTTCAGTCAGATAGAAGAACTTTCTAAATAGTAAACTTTTATTTTGTGATAGTAGTTACAGTTAAAAATTTGTGTATTTTATGTTAAATAAATATTGTTATTTTATTTGAACACACAGCAACCCTTTCTCTTATTTTTATTTCAACAAATGGTGACTCATGGGATCTTTACTCAACATCATAATTGGAAATTGATGGTCATCCACTTCTGGGATTTATTTCAAGGAACACAATCTTTAAAATGTTTAAACCAATCAGATATTGTTTTATTTCCTTTCAATTCCTAAATTTTACAAATATATTTTTTGGCTTTGAAAACTAGTTTAAAATAAGACCTCAGAATTGTTATAATCTAAATACTTATTTACACTATTTACAATCAGACTATTGACCTCATCTTTGTTGTTGTTATCACATGGTTTCAGCTGCTAACAACAAAGATGAGGACAATAGTCTAAATGTAAATATGTTAAATAATAGTCTAGCAGACTATTATTTTTTAAAGAATTTTATTTCCTCAGATGGTAGAAAAAACAAAGGAAGTCTTTTTTGGATTGATTAAAACTAGTATGGGAAGGTTAGAGAGATAGAAAGTTATTTTAGTGAGTAAGTTTTACATGTCAAAGAGATCAGACATGGTTATTTTGTGTCTTGGGAATTTGCTCTCCAGTTGGGTTGATAGAGCAAACCCATTGGCTATTTAGAAATGTACACATTGATATCTTACTTATTATAAAACGCAGATTGTGTGTGTGTGTGTGTCTGTACGTTTATATATTGGATTGGATTCCCTACATTTTTCAACCGATTTCAACAAAACTTCACATGACTAAGTAAAATTACCTTACGGTGGTTCTGACAGTGCCAAAAATTGGAAAAACACAATTGTTTTTGCACGAAATCAATTTGAAAACACGATAAAACACGATTCTGTCACCAGAATGAAAGGGGACAACTCATATCGAGTTATACTTATTATAAAACTCAGGTTGTTTGTGTGTGTGTGTGTGTGTGTGTGTTCCTTTATATATGGGATCGGATTTCCTACATTTTTCAACAAAACTTCACTTTTTTTTGGCAGGTAGTCTTGCACACTTTTTTCTTTATTTTTACATTCAGAATGCTTTAAAAATTCCATTTCCAAGACAATTGTTTATTATAAAATTCTATTCAATCGGTAGACTCATAAATGATTGAAAACAATGTTTTTGTTTGAGTTTGGGTTTGACCAATTCGTAAAAAAAAAAAGCTAATTAAGACATGCGTGTCCGTCAACCTTAAACAATAATCTTTGTCAATTTTATTTTTCAGTCTTTATGATGATTGATACTTGATCTATCTCTTACTGTTACATCCCCGGGCAACGCTGGGCTCTACTGCTAGTGATTAATAAAACAGATCAGTTTTCAAATTCCCTTTGTTGATGTCTCATTTTACCTCCAAACCAAAAACTAGCGATCACCCGGCCAGAAGATGACAGAAAGAAGAAAGCAACATATGATCACCTCAAGTCCGTTAGTCAAAAGAGAGGGGGGGGCGTATACAACAAATAGTTTAAATAATGATATCTCAGAAATTCAGGCTAAATACTTATATCCACCATAATAACATCTGAAACAAAAGTACTGATATATATACAAGGTTGTCTGAAAACGTGTTCTCTGTAAGCTATGGGCAAAAGTGCAATAAGCAGATTATGTTATCATCTAACATGATATCTTGGGACTATATAACTGTAATCATAGCTTCCTGTAACCATTGCATCTTTTTTCACATGCTTTTGTGCCAAGACTAATCGTGGCTGCTTTGCCATGACAATACACCTGTTCACAATATCCTTAGCATCCAGAAGTCCCGGGCTAAGAACATCATCATACTAGAACAACCTCCCTATCTTGCTCTGTCTAACTTTTCTTTTCCCCAAGCTCAAATGGATCATCATGGTGTGGAGGCCATCAAGAGGGCCGTAATGACAAAGCTGAGAGAGGCTATCCTAGAAGAATCCTTCCAGTAGTCTATAGAAGCTTGGCAGAGAAGGATGGAAAAGAGCATTAAACTTGAGGAGGATTACTTTGAAGGAGAAACCTGTAGTTTGTTGTTTGGAATTGAAATAAACTGTTTGTGACACCAGTCTCATTACTTTTCAGACACACCTCATATATATATATATATATATATATATATATATATATATATATATATATTGAAGGGATACTGAAAAATTCTCAGCTTAACTAAGAAACCATTGCAAAATGAAATTTGGTGTTCTTCTATTTGGTTAAATCTTGTGAAGTGGATTGAACTGAGAAATTTTCACCACCTGCCTCTTATATAATACCTTGACTTTTCAAGATTTAGAAGGATTTTTAACAACTGTTATAAAAAACTTCACATCATGCAAAAAACAAGTGAAATAGCCCTCAGGTCAGCAGGCCTACACTGATGAAGTTTTAAGGAGGAATTTGGCATAGTGTGTGTGTATATATATATATATATATATATATATATATATATATATATATATATATATATTTTTTAGGACCTTGAATAAGTTCTCAATGACTTTTCATGAAAAATAATGTTTTATTTACAAAAATTAGTAAGAAACATGTCACTGAAAGTATTGTGCATCACTATCAACTACTTTTCCCACCATTGTAGCAGCATTTGAATTCCACATTGGAAAAATGACACACCTTTTGAGGCTAACTCCAAGTCAGTCCATTTTTTTGCATCTTCATAAGAATGAAAGTGCTGCTCATCCAGGCCATGTGTCATCGATTGTAAGAAGTGATAATTGGATGAGCAATGTCTGATGAATATGGCGAGTGGGGTAGGACTTCCCATTTAACCATTTCCAAGTAGGTTTTCACTTGTTTTGCAACATATGGCCTCGAATTGTCATGTTGCAAAATCACTTTGTTGCATCTCTGCTTGTATAGTGGGCATTTTTTCTTCAACACTCAGCTCAAACACATCAATTGTAGTCAATAGTGATCTCCCATCATGATTTTGGTCAGTTTGAGCAGCTCTTAATAAACTACACTCAGCTGATCCCACCAAATGTGGAGCAGAAGCTTCAACTCATAAGGCACCCAATGTCCTTGCTTTTGAATCATTCCTAATGCTTTCAAACATTTCAAAACTGTTGCGTGATCAACTCCTAGTGATTCTGCAAGTTCAGCTTGTGCCTGATATGAGTCTTCATGAAGTAATGCCTTCAATACTTCAACTTCAAACTTTTTTTAGTGTGCCAGAACATTCTTTATCTTCAACATCAAAATCATTATTTTTGAAGCATCTAAACCAATCTCTGCATGTTGTTTCTGACAGAGCATGGTTGGCATAAGTCTCAGCAAGAATTCTGTGTGCTTCAGCTGCAGGTTTCTTTTGAATAAAGTAGTGCAGTAAAATTCCCCACAAATATAATTTCATTGGCATGAAATCCAACATGTTTAACACTAGGAAAAACAAAGTTGTTTACACTTTGGCAAAATGACATATACTAAATTACAAGTTTGCTTATAGTACTTCTTTATGAATGTGTTACCATCTGAAAGTACATGCTCGCAGTTCTGGGAATATCATCTGCTGGAAAACAGCAAGAACTTATTCAAGGTATATATATATATATATATATATATATATATATACAGACAGAGTGTGATGAATAAATTGTCAACTAAATTATGCAAAAATAACACTGACATCTCATTTTAACAGATATATTTACCAAAATTACACAAAAATATCTTGAAATACTAAACAGTAAATTTATTCAATAAAATCACCATTGGCTTCAACCACAGCCTCCAGGTACTACAGAATCTCCTTCAACTCCTTTGTACGGTCTCCTTGTTTAATTTGGTGAATGTTGCCATAATCCTTGCCTTTTGTTCATCATTGGTGTTAGAAGAGTTTTTTTGTTCTCTCACTTAGCTGCACCCCACACATAATAATTGAGGGGGTTGCAGTCTGTGGAGTTAGGTGTCCAGATGTAAGGGATGATGTGGTTGCAGAAATTGTCTGAGAGCCATGACTGGGTTCTCCTACTTGTGTGGCATGGTGTAGATTACTGTTACCAGACATAGGATCTTCCAGCAGCCACCTTCTTAACCTGGGGCAGTACTACCTCCTCAAGTCCGTTGATGTGGGCCTCTCTGTTGATTCTGATCTGATTCCATCATGAGTAATTACTCCAAACATGATATTGACTGGATATATCATCCAACTCTTTCCAAA